CCTCCCTCCCTCCCTCCCTCCCCCCCCCCCCTCTCTCTCTCTCTCTTTCTTTCTTTCGGTTCCAGCCAAGAAGATTAAAACAGAGTAATGAATGTCTCTTATGTATCTATTCAAATGCCAAGTTCAGTAAAGATTTGAGACATTCCCAAAATATAAAGAAATTCATGTAACATGATGTTGCTCGGGTAGTGTCCATCTTTGTTGAGCTATATAGTTCCAGCAAGAAGGAAGAAGATAGATTAAAGGCTCCAACAGCCTGAGTAATGAGAGATTCTAAGATACCAAGAAAGACTTCTGAGAGAAAGTCTGTAACCTCATCCCATGCACAGAGCCTAGACATTCCGAATCCACCCATCTATTTGCTGAGTGTGTTAAGGAGTGTACTGCTTAATATTCTATAGCTGCAGGTGTGAGATAATGATCCAGAGCTTCTAGCCGCAAGCTACCTGTTATTTTAAGGGGATGGGATGTGTCAGCATGGAAACAAGAACTTGAATTAGAAAATTTCCAGATGGATCTCAAATCCAAAGTTTACATGCCTGATGTCCACTTGGCAAAGGGGTGTGTCCCCATGCCAGGAGGGTATGTCTTCATGCCAGGAGGGTGTGTCCCCATGCCAGGAGGGTGTGTCCTCATGCCAGGAGGGTGTGCCTAGCCTTCCATCTCTAGTGCCTTCAAAGTTAGTGCAGGATGTGGGTAGATTTATGAGAAAATTCCAGTTTGCTAAATGCAAATATGTCTTTAAATATGGAATTAGGAACGAATTAAAATTTTGGGGGCAAATTTATAAAATGGAACAAGGAAATATATTCTGATGTTTATATTTAATTCTTACTTTTTGAGGAATCAAAATGCAGATTGACTACATAATATCTTTTCAGTCTGATCCGATATTAGATATTCTACAATTATTCTATAACCATAAAGGCAAGATATTTTTTGTCCCCACTCATTTTGTTCTTAGTAGCTTTATAATCCTTCCAACTCAGTATAAAGTCAACACTAAATGAGGTTTTCTGAATTACTTCCTGTTTCCCTTTTAAAGGCTTCTCTGTATATTTAAAAATTGTGAATTTATACTTTGGGCACACCAGAGATCTCAGTGTTTGGGAGCTGTGGGCAGAAGGGTCAGGAGTTCATAGGTAGTCTTGAGCTTTGCAACATTAACGTGGGTTAGATAAGACCTGGTCTCAAAAACAAAATCAATAAGTCAAACGAAGAACCCTCCCCAGATCATCCCCCACCACTTCAGGAAAAGAATAATATGTTTTGAAGAGGCAATAAATGTACATAATAAAAAATGTATACAAACACACAGTATAAAACTTAAAAGGTACAAATGGGTGCTTAACTTTCTACCTCTTAAATAACTATTTTAAAGCTTTCATGAGGTTTTTACCTTAAATTTAAGTCAGAGCCTTCAATGTACACCATTTAGTTTATATCTGTACATTTTTAGTCATGACAGAGACATATAGAAACATAGTAAAGGGATAATTAGTTTGATTTACACAGATTTTTTCACTGTGTGTGAAAATTACAGTAGCCTCACAAGAACTCAATGATAGTTATTTCAATCAGAAGATAGTTTGAGTTCTTCAGAACATAATGAAATGATGGCCTCATGGGAATTGCCTGAGGTACAAACAATGAAAAATACGTGCTATTAAAAATCATAAACTGAGCTTTTAAAGTTTTTTTTTCCCAATGAAATAAAAACGTGGTTTGGGACAATCTAGCATAATCACACAGAATTGCTGCAGCAAGCAGGCTTGAGGGTGGCTCTCATCTCGCTCCTGAGACAGGCAAGCATCCTTGAGAAGTCCTGCAAGGTCTCATCAGTGAGTCATGGCAGTTACATTTTTTTTTATGTTTTATGATCAAAACAGTCCTTTAAAAGACACACTTGGAACACCCAGTGTGAATGTGGGTGTAAACGGATAGCATGCTGTAGAGCTTTCTCTATGTTTACCTAAGAGGCTAGCAAAGACCGCTGAGTTAAATGTCAGCAGGATTTTTGCTTCCGGTTGCAGTAGCACTGATAATAGTAAAAGGCAAAAGATGCTCAAAAATTAAACTTGGGCTGCACACTAATTCCATAACACATTTCAACAACGTGTGTCACTAATATCACCTTGCACAAGCAGGCAGCTGGGCAGGCATAGGCAGATGTAAACGCAGGCAGACGCACCTTCCTGTCCCTGCAATAGAAAATGTCCCCTATCTCAAGATGTTCGTGGGACCTGGGCCAGCACTCTGAATGAGGAGAGCCAAGCTATGCCTGTGATTTACATTTAAGCTACTTTTGCATTTTTAAATCGGCTATTCTACTTCCAGAGGAGAAGAAAAATCAAGAGGCTAGGAAAATAAATTTGGCTCTCTATAGATGCCCAGGATACTTCCTCATTATTTAAATTGTGTAAGTACAAAGCCAAAACGCCTGATAAGACTCATGGGTTTCTGTTGTTGTCGAGGGATTTTATTTACGAGACCTTCTGCAGAGTATCCTCTGCTTTTGAATTTTGAATCCTGTATGGTGGCGTTTCCTAGACCTGTCTGGTGAATCACCTGCAGTGATTGCTACATTTGTTGATTTCTCTGTCCTCTTCCTTCACCCAGAGTCTGACTAAGCAGGTCTGGGATAAAGCCAAGAATTTTTTTTTAAATATGCTTTCCAGATGATTTCTGTCTTTAGAAAAGTTCTAAAAAGTGAATTTCAAATCACTTATTAGAAGGAACAGGAGATACAGTTTATGTCTAACCTGCACATGTATATATATTCAATATACACACATACATAAACATATATACACATACACAGACACAGATACATACAGACACATACACACACATATATGCTCATGCACACATATGTATAAGCAAGAGCACACACATAGTGGCAACAAAATGTCCCAGAAGATTCGAAACTTAGGCACTCTACCACTTTTTATTCATCTACTTTTTGTGTTAAAATTTTGATTATTGGACTAGAGAGATGGCTCATCTGTTAAGAGTACTGACTGCTCTTCCAGAGGTCCTGAGTTCAATTCCCAGGAACCACATGGTGGCTCACAACCATCTATAACGGGATCTGATGTCCTCTTCTGGTGCATCTGAAGACAGCAACAGTGCACTCACATACATTAAATAAATAAATAAATAATAAATCTTATAAAGAAAATTGGTAGTTTCAGAGGAAGGTTGGGGGATGTAACTCTATGGTAGACCATTTGTTCAGCATGAACAAGTGCCTGGCTTTGATCCCCCATATGGAAAAAATGGTCACTA